GTACAGAGAAACAGTAGAGCAGTTTTTCTTTGCAAAGGACTCAGAGCACAAGTATGGATTTCTGTTTGAAATCTCTGGGGCACATAAGTCTTGTGTGTCATTTTTGCAAACATAGTAGTGCAACATTGTGTGGCATCCCATGACACTTTTTAAAAGGATCTTGTGGCATCCTGGTTGAAAATCACTGTTCAAGATCTAGGTTTTTATTTTTCTAAACCAGGCGGACCAGCCTTTCTTGGCAGGTGTGTGAGATAAAGCCTGACACTCTTCCTTAGTGACACTTTAATCCCCTTTCTCTGCCTCATCTGCTGCTCTGTTTTCTGCTCCCTGTTCAGTCTACTTTCTGCTGATGAGGCCTGAGGGACGGCCTCTCTGCCCCATCTGCTGCTGTGCTGCCTGCCCTTTCCCTCTGATGTGCACCACAGGTTGCCCCTGCTACTTGTGGCAGATTGGCCACCCTTATTTTAACCTATAGCTGAAATTTTTACACTATCACTTGCCCTCAGGACCCAAGACATTTAACAAATCCCAACTCCTATGGAATTTACAATAAAACTGTGAGGGGTGGGTAAGAGTGAGTGTAGAGAGACTGGTCAGGTTTACCTCTTGCAAGTGAATTTTTATGTGAAATGTGCGCTTAAGAAATCCAATTGGTATGCTATTACATCTGTCTTTTCTTTTCCTAGTCTTATGAAATGGTTGTTTTGCATGCAGTTGGGCCTGGAGGGTAATCAGCTTTGGGTCTCATTGTGCCAGACCTTTTGCAGAGTGATAGACAGTGACAACTGTCACTCCCCAAAATGTGCTGTTGATTTGATGAGGAGGTTAACAGAGTTGTAACATATACAAAATGGGAATTAAGTTTCAGTTCCCCTTCTACCACATTCCCAAGTAAAGGTTTGGGAAATTGTGCTACACCTACTTTAATTATAACACATCAGTTTCATGTTGGTGTGACAACCTACACAGGGTGTACCTGTTGAGGGAGTACAAACATTAAAATGTATTTGTTGAAGTTGGTATATTAAGTATTTGCTTCTGAGGAGCATGGACATATGTTGTTTTTCTGTGTTGCTTTTAATTTACACAGCGCCTCTGGAAGTAGATTAGTATGCTCTCTGTTACAGCTATTGAATGCGAGACAGAAGTAATGATCTCTCCGCTTTGTTCTGTACCATGGTTAGATTGCTGAATGAACTAAGTCAGACTGAAGCCAAATCTTCCATTCTGCTATATTCCTCAGTCTTAGAGCAGTGAATGTCGAGACACAGAGCAGGAAACCTGCTAGGCAGGGCAGGGGTCTTGCAGCCAGTGCGTGGCTCCTGGGGAAAAGGCGGCAGGGCGGAGAGTCCCAAGCCCACAGGGGCAGTCCGCCTCAGTCTTTGCTCCACTTGGCTCTGCTTCTAAAAGTGTTCTGGTACTTAAAAATTGTGGTGGTGGCGCTCATTCGATGAGCTTAAGTTCAAGCACCCCCACCGCCATTTTTAAGTGCCAGGGTGCTGATCCCCGAACAAGCCTCCCACTGCTCTGTCCTGCTTCCTGCCCTGCCCCTGGGGTCCTGTTCACTGCCCTGCCCCTCTCCCTAACTCACTCAATTTGCATCCCCCAGGCCCCTTCCTTCCCCCATGCCCCTTCCCCTCCACAGACTTACCTGTAGGGCACTAGTCTCCACACTGCCTGGCTGCACTCCTTGCCATGTGCATGCTGTGGCTGTGTGTGGGGGTAGGCCGGAAGGCATATTATTTATTGGTACCTTATTGACTACACCGGCCAAAAAAAGTCTATAGCTGGTCATTTTAATTTTCCTTTTATCGGTGTTGAACCAACATGGCACCGATATATCGGTGCACCTCTAATGTCAGTCTGTTCTTTGAGATCAAATAGGTTGATCCTTTTCATTACTGCTAAACTCCTTTTTAATGTGTTCCTTCTTCACACTCTCCTTCTTGATCCCATAAAACCTCACTGTGTCTGAACAATGATATTATCTTGTTAAATATTATCTTATATACCGTCGCTTGTTTATTGATGCCGTAGCTAGTCCAAACTGTCATTTTTTAAAAATTTAAATGGTTTCTGACTTTATGCTAGCCCCCCTTTGACTTGCCATTGGAAAATGATTCATTGTAGAGTGCTGAAATTGAGTTTTATAATGCTTTCAGGCTTCACTGGGTAGCCCTTCCTTTTTTTTTTTTAGTTTCCAGTGGTGTATGTGCAATGTGCTTGATATTCGTGGTCCTGTCCCCCAACTGCTTTTAATGCAAAAATAATACAACAGAGGGGCAAAGTGGAAGGGAGAGGGAAACAACAATTAAGACCATGCAGTCAAGTTCACACAGTATTTTAATGGTACAGATATTAAAAAAAAAAAAGGGGGTATAGACAGTTGCAAATTGCCTATGGCTATGGTACTATACTTGCAATTTAGCAGTATTTTTACTTGTTCTTGTACAACTACAGAAAGGTTTGTCAAGTTAGATCATACAAAGTTAAACTTGCAGTATATTTTAGTTGTGAATCCAAGTAAAGTATGCACATGCTGATATCATCCCTTCCCCTGTTCGGTACTAATATTTCTGTTTTTCTAGGGGCTGGCAAGGTTTGATTGCATATGGATGTCATTCCCTTGTACTAGTAGTTGATTCCAACACTGCCCAAACTTTACAAGTTTTGGAAAGGCACAAAGCCAGCGTTGTCAAGGTGAATTTTATTTGTTTTATGTTATTTCATGGATTGTTTGTGTATTGTTTCTGCAAGCCATATAGATAACTAACATTTTATCGAGGTTGATTTTCATGTTGGGATACTAGTTTTAAGGGATAAAATTGTCTATGCAAGTCTATGGACAAACCATCTATGTTGAAATGTTATGGAAATCAGTTATAATATTGTTTTCTGGTGTGAGGAAGCGTGTCAGTATTGTGTTAGAGATATAAATACAATAAAAAATTTCCTAAAAGATAGCTATATTATTATCCTAAAAATGATTGAAGTCCTCCTCTGCTACTGAATGTGCTGATTTCTTCTTACTAGAAAAGTCCAGCATTGTTCATATGGTATATCTACAGCATATCTTTAATGCTCGAGTAGGCGCAGATTGCAGCTCTTGGCCTGGGACATCATGAAATCAGGAAAATGAATGAAAATGGCCAATGTCTTCTTGAACTCTGCATCTTAAACCACCTGTGTGCATCATTAACACCTACTTTGTGGGCAAAGAGTATCAAAAAGTATCATGGAGACGCCCACAATCTGGCCACTGGCATCAGTTAGACCTTGTGTTCACCAGGAGGAAAGACCTGTCCAGTGTACTACTCACCTGTGCTTATCACTGCAGATTGTGACATAGACCACTCACTCCTTATTGTCAGCAAAGTGAAAGTAATACAAAAGAAGCTGCCTAGGGCCAAGCATACGAGTGAGCCAAGAGTTAACATACACAGCACAAAAGTCCAAAGCAAGTGTCTCGGCTTTCAAAGGACCTTTGTGGTAGCTGTGTCTACGAAAGCAACAACTACAAATGCCAAAGAAACTTGGAGTAGACTAAGAGCAGTCATCCAGGAAACAGCCACAGAAGTATTTGGGGAAAAAGAAATTGTCAAATAAAGACTGGTTTGAGGCACACTTCAAAGAGATGCTACCACTTGTTGAAGCCAAGAATACAGCCTATCTGAAACACAACCAGAATCCAGCAGAAAGTTCCAAGGCTAAGCTGAAGCATGCCAGGGCAGTGGTATAGAAATCAGCCAGTTGCTGTGCAAACCAGTACTGGACTGACCTAGGTCAAGAGATACAGTTTGCCTGAGACAAACTGTAAACCTGTGAGTTATGTATGACAGCCTGAAGAAAACCCTTGGCCCAACTGTCACTAAAGTCACCCTCCTCAAGTCTTGAGATAGCAAAGTAAAAATCACTGAGAAGAACGAGAAGATGTTATGTTGGGTCGAACATTTCTTAGAGCTTTACTCCCATGAAACAGACATTTCAGAAGGGGCACTGGATCAAGTTCCAACTCTTAAGTGTATGGCACAGCTAGACAAAGAACTTACAGCCGAAGAACTGAGCAAGGCCACAGACTCTCTAGCAAGCAGAAAACCACCGGGGGGATGGCATCTCAGCTCAGGTCCTCAAGTGTGGGAAGGGTAGTCTGCTACCACATCTTCATCAACTCCAAGTGTGCTGCTGTAAGGAAGGTCAAGTACCCTAGGACATGCATGATGCTAACATCACTCTACAACTGTAGGGTCATCTCTCTCACCAGCATTGCAGGCAAGGCTTTAGCCAGAGTCATTTTGAAATGTTTGCAGCAAATTGCTAACTGCATCTATCTGGAATCATATTGTGGATTCAAAGCAGGAAGATCAACAGTGGGTATATTTTCCTTATGCCGAATGCAAGAAAAATGCAGAGAACAAAATAAACCACTGTGTGTAGTATTTGTCGACCTGACCAAAGCCTTTAACACTGTCAGAGCAGGTTTGTTCAAGGTCCTGGTAAAGATTGGATGCCCTCCAGCGTTACTCAGAATGCTATGCTCCTTCCATGAAAACATGTAAGCCACAGTTCAGTTTGATGCATCAGCCTCTGACAGGTTTGTAATGTAGAGTGTGTTGGCTACAAAGGACCAACTCACAGGATCATTATAAAATTCTAGTTTATTGGACGGATGCAAAAGTCAGACCATAAACCTTGGTGCTGATCCCCTCACACACACACACACACACACACACACAGAGTAGCTAGCTAGCTATAAACACTAAGCACCAGTGTCAAGATATAGCGATCCACACAGTAGCTAGTTATGAACACAGCATCGGTGTCAAGATATACCTATGTTATGTTGCACTTATCCCCAAGTGCTGAAGTTTGCTGTCAATGGCCAGTTGAGGCTTCTTTCAGTGCGATGTTGCTTTAGAAGGGGGTCGCCGGCTGGTCCTTCTGGCTGGACAGGCAGAGTGCCGGTCAGGTCAAAGAGGGCGCCATTGGAGGTCATTCTTCACTGCCTTTTATCCCTCTCTGGCAGACTTTGGTGACTTCCCAGTTCTCAGGCTTACCCAATCCAGGGGTTGTTGACCTCAAGGGACGTCCCTCTTTGTAGCTGCTGGATGGCAGCTGTCAGCCCCAGGGATCACGTCCGCAGGTATGTGCAGTCTCAGGAGTCCATTGATGAATTTTGATTGATTCACTGTCGTGATGAATAGAGCTCTGGAAGTGGTTGATTGGGGTATTTCAACCCCAAGAGTCTGTTTCCAGAGTTGATTAGTTCAAACCGGGGCTTCCATACCTTTAACAGTGAAGTTTCAGGGAGTTCCTGGCTCTGTACTGATTTTTTCCTCTCCTTAGTCTGTGGTATGTAGGTGTTAATTGCTGCTCGTTAACTTCCTTATCCAGACTAGCTACTGTCTTACTCGATCAACCTTGATTCATTCAGGGACCTGCTCCATACAGAGATTCCTGCCCTTGCTAACATTGTTACATGGTACATCTTACTTTTAAACTTAAAGTACATTTGTAAAAGCATCTACAAGCTCTATTTTCACTACAAGTACACTTTATATAAAATTATAATAGTGTAATAAAAGAAAAAAAGAGAGGAAGGAAGAAAAGGTAGAAAAGAGAAAGCTACCCCAAAAGGGGGCAACTACTGCAAAAAGGGCTTTTGCCGTATGAAGGAGCTTCACATTTGAGGGTGTGGGGAGTCAGGCAAAAAGGTTTCTTGCTACACGGGGAATGAAGCAGGGTTGTGTTCTGATGCAGGGTTGTGTTCTTTGGGATCTTCTTTTCTACATTGCTGCACTATGCTTTTGATGGTGGAGGAAGGCATATACCTTCACACAAGATCAGATGGAATACTACAATCTACAACATCTAAAGGCCAAGACAAAAGTGAGGCATGTACTAATTAGAGAGCTCCTTTTTGTTGATGATGCTGCACTCGCCGTCCATGAAGAAGGCCAAATGCAAATACTTATGAATTGCCTCTCCCATGCTTGCAGGATGTTTGCTCTGACCATCAGCATCAAGATGACTGTGGTCTTAGGACAGGGTGTTTGCCAGTCACCATCTATCAGTCTTGACAACACACCTCTTGAGGCAGTGAACAAGTTATGCTACCTTGAATCGACAATGAGTGACAACGTATCACTGGATGAAGAGCTAAATATGCACATTGGAAAGGCAGCTATGATTTTCAGTAAGCTCTCCAAATGAGTCTGGAACAATATAAAACTCATAATCAAAACTAAGCTGCTTGTGTACAAAGCCTGTATCCTAAGTGTCCTTATGTATAGTGGTGAGACATGATCAACATACACATATCAAGAAAAGAAGCTGAACAGGTTCCAACTACGGCACATCCTTGACATCAGGTGGCAAGACAGAATCACCATCTTAGAGGTTATCGCCAAAGCCACCCTGCTAACCATTACTGCACTACTCAAACAGCTATGCCTACGTTGACTTGCCCATCTTCGCAGGATGGAAGATGGGCATGTCCTGTGGGACATCTTGTATAGGCAAATAGAAGTTGGGGAGAGAAGAGTAGGGTACCCAAAACTGTGCTTCAAAGATGTCTGGAAGCAGGATGTGAAGGCTTTTGGAATTGACTCAAACCTTTGGGAGGTCTTAACAGGAAACAGGACAAAGTGCCACTCCCTTCTCAATCATGGAGTCCAACATCACGACAGGAAATGGTCACTCAAATTGCAACAGAAACTTGACCGAAGGAAGCAGCCTGTCAGTACAGCCCCTAACACCATGTATGCCTGTGACCGCTTTTAGGATCTGCAAGTCTACCATAGGTCTTTACAGCCACAAGAGAAAATTTACTACCAGACAAATAGCTGCAATACCCACTGTCACTTGCTGATGAATGGATGTCATATATATCTACAGCAACATTATTCTAACTTCTCAGTCAATAAAGCCACTTTAATATTTTAACAATACTTTAATGATTTAAAATAATAGCAGTAATGGCCCACAGGGAAGACTGATAGTTAATGGCTGGGCTAGATGTGTTCAGTTTTACTTTGGAACTTTTACCTATTAAGGAAAACTGCCTAGTTTCATAGTTTCATAGTTTTAGGGTCGGAAGGGACCTAATAGATCTTCTAGCCCGACCCCCCGCCAGGGCGGGAGAACAACAAAAGAACCCTAAACAAAAAACGGGACTCAAATGAGTCCAGCCAGGTAGGTATCCAGCCTCTTCTTAAAGATCCCCAGGGTAGGGGCCAGCACCACCTCCCTTGGAAGTTGGTTCCAGCTCCTAGCCGCCCTAACTGTGAAGTAGTTTTTTCGGATGTCCAATCTGTACCTCCTCTCCATCAACTTGTGCCCATTACTCCTTGTTATGCCAGCGGGGGCTAGGGGAAACAGCGTCTCCCCCAAACCCTTCTGGTTCCCCCTAGTGAGTTTATAGACGGTCACCAGGTCCCCCCTCAGCCTTCTCTTGTGGAGGCTGAATAGGTTCAGGTCCCGCAGTCTCTCACTGTAGGGTCTGCCCTGTTGTCCCCGGATCATGCGGGTGGCCCTCCTCTGGACCCTCTCCATGTTGTCCACATCCCTCCTGAAATGGGGCACACAGAACTGGACACAATACTCCAGCTGCGGCCTGACCAGCGTCGCATAGAGGGGGAGGATCACCTCCCTGGCTCTACTCGAGATGCACCTGTGGATGCACGACAAGGTCCGGTTAGCCC